AGAAGGTGAGAAGCAAAAGTCAGCGTCGCGACTTTGTGAAGGGGTAGCACGTGCCTTACGTTTTGTGGCGGTAAAGTTGAAAGGGGCGGGGAAGTGGGTCTCTGAGAAATCGATTGTTCACAAACGCCACGATTTATACGCTCAGATGTACATACTCTTGCTTTTTAGGGCTTTCCCTTTCGTACCTCAGAACGGAGGATGAAGCAACTTTTATATAAACAGGGACACGCCGCACGATCAAAATCCCTGCCTCAGGGCCCTACATATGCAAAAGAGTAACCCGCCAAGTTGGAATCAGGGTGTCTTCGCTTGGAATATTCAATCAGGTCTAGATCCTGCACTTTAAAATTGCTCAAACCCGGAGTTCATGTGGTCGTTGTACATCGCAAGCCTACATCAGCCACCAACATAACACGCAGCGATTCCCCTCCGCATACGAATCGTGCAGCGCAGCCCGGACCGACATGTTAAGACGATTTGCAGAGAATGCGCAGATATAGGCAGATATATTCATTGTGTGTACAGCGCTCTTTGCACCCGATTGCGGAGATATGTATGATTTTATATCAGAAGTAAAGAACTTCGGGGCCTGGACTGATCTTTTATTCATTTTACAGACATGGGGCCCAAGGCCCACCGGTAATGAGCTCATCCGCGATCTCCACGAGCCCCATTCGGCTCTGCATAAATAGCAATCATATGCAGAGGTGTCCAGAAAAGTGCGGTCCGTGCCTCCGATCTCAGGGCCTGGACGATATCGATCAAGGCGTTGATGTACATGGGATGAGAGTTCGGCAATGTCATCGTAAGCAGGCTCAAAGATCGAACCAGAAGAATGAGAGCATACTTAGGTATTGTCTGCGATTCTGAGCCGGAATCACGCCATTAAATGTACAAGATCGCGCGCTATCGTGCCCAACGTTGCTGATCCGCAGGGCATGTAATCGAGATGGGACAGGATGGGACCGGCGATCATGCGTACGCCAAGAATAAACAATCGATATTCGGGGGTTCAACGTTCAAGAGGTTGATAGGGGCGACCCGCGTAGATGGCTGTGCTTATAGACAGGGAGGACGAACGGGAACAGGGAGATGCGAGACACATTCTAAGTTAATCAGACAATCATAAAATGACGCGTGATCATGATTGTGGGGGAATAGAACGATAGGAGGACGCATATGTCTCGACCCTGGGTAAAATGAAGTGTAAATGTCAATTGAATCTGGGGGTGAGATTGGGTGGCCGGTGGGTGGCGTAACATGCATGTGAGCTTCATCATGCTGCTGCACCCACCCATTCGAGTGGGAATGCGCATTTCAAGACTCGGTGCACCATTATATCAGCCTCGATTCAGTGAAAGAGCTCCTGAATACCACATCTATCCCTTCGAGCGAGACACCTGCCATCTCAAGGACAACAAATGTTGCACCGCCCCGACACTAGTACTGTCAGCCGCCGATACCCTATGTTCCCACACAGACATTGTATGTCAACTACTATTACTAAATCCATGTTGCCCGCCGCCGCGTGATTTTTTACGGGATTTCAAAGTGACACTTTGACATCGCTGCGGAAAATTGCCGCATTCTGGACCAGTTCTGGACTCCAATGGCAGCTAATTCGCGGCCGGACGGCTGACGGATTAACATTGCACCATGTGTCCGAATAGCGCTGAGATTCGCGCTCACCTGCCAATCACTTGTGACCTGCGGTCTCTGGGAAAGTTTAGGGGAGTTCAGGCCGGGGAGAGCTCAGAAGATCCATGCAAACATATTGACATAACGAGAGGTACCACGGGACCTACTAACATTGAAATTGACATCGATATTCCCACTCACGTGTGACCACTGACTAGGATTCCCGGCTAGAGCCAACGTCCGGGAGCTCGAGGCTCGAGCCGGAGGAGGTTTATGTCGGAATTCGCGTCGGCTGACCACATCCCGTGAACTTGTTTGGGCATATTTACCGCATTCCAAATCGGTCCACTACGCCTTCTATCCTGGACTTCGATGCCGTCCATCGATGAGGACGATGCGGAGCTGTCCCTCGGCGATATCTTCACTGTGAGTGTTCTATTAATATCGGTTTGCAGCCATTGGTGGCACCCTAGTGCCAGGCTATGTGATATTCGGGCATGTCGAGACTTTTGCATTTAACACCGCAGATTCGCCGATGGACCCAAGCCAGGCATGTCTATCGGCTGCTTTGGTTGAAATAGCAATGCAAAAGCAGAAAATATCTCACTCACGAGTTTTTTGACGGCAGGAACCTCCTAGACCGCCAACCCCAGAGCCTACGGTGACCATCTATGAACGCGATCCCCAATCGCGCAGAGCGTTTCGGCAGGCCGTCCCCGAGAGCGAGATCGCAGCCGAAGACGATTGGGAAAAAATTGAGATCAAGCTCGTGGGGAAGACGGAGCTCTGGGGGCACTACCTGTAGGCACATGCGCTTCCCCCCAATTTTACGAGCATCCAAGGCTGAATGGAAGACTGTCGTTATGATGTGATCAGATGGAATGCCGCTCGTGCATTCACGACCTTTCTGGACGAGAACCCGCAGCTCTACCGGGGCAGGAATGTGCTGGAGCTGGGAGCGGCAGGTGGGCTGCCTGGGATCGTCGCCGCAAAGAACGGCGCGCGGAAGGTGGGAATTCTTTCTTTTAGTTACGAAAAGAAAATCCGCTCATGACCATGTGCCGATAACTGCAACCATCTGACTTTTAGGTGGTTCTGACCGACTACGACGAGCCGCTGATCAATAATCTCAAGGACAACATCAAAACGAACTTTGGCATCGCGCGGGGTTATGGCGAAGACGAGGCGTACCCAGAGGATCGCATCAGCGCCATTGCAAGTCTAAGCGTGATAATTGCTGTCGAAGACTATTCCTTATTTTATGTGCATTCGCAGGAATACCGCTGGGGCCAAACGGTTGTGCCTCTGCTCGACTTGCTGCCAAAGTCAAGCCCCGTGCGAGGCTTCGATGTCATCATACTCTCTGATCTCGTCTTCAACCACTCACAGGTGCCGAACAAATTTTATCAAGATCACTGCTAATGCATTACTGATAGTGGTTATTTTTATTTGGCCCTTGTTCATGCAGCACATTGCGCTCTTACAGTCATGCCTAGACACGCTAGCTCCACACCCTTCCAATTGCAGCGAAGAGACTAAAGCGACGGTACCCGCGCCTGTTGTGCTGGTGTTTTATAGCCATCATGTTCCAAGGTATGCCGACCGGGATCTACGCCTTTTTGTGGAGGCGAAGGAGAGAGGGTGGGTGTGCGAGGAGATGGCTGTGGAGAAGTATCCGGTATGTTGCACTTCATCACATTTCATGTTGATATTGTCTATATCGATACGTCAACATGGATTCAAGATTCCTGCTAATATTTGATTTTTTGTAGCCAATGTTCCCGGAAGATCCAGGTTCAGAGGAGGTCCGGTCGACAGTGCATCGGTGGAAGCTGACCCGATAAAACTACACTTAAAATGAGGCTGCTTAGAGGGTTTCTTGTAGTTTATTCAAGATTTATTGAGCATAAGAAGGATAAGAACGATGGTTGAACAAATTGAGAGGCAGCCGGCGCACGGGGACATTCGGAAGATGACGCGACGGGTGCATGTGATTGGCCGCCCGACTGCCTTTGCCGCTGCACATCGTCGATAACTTCAACTCTTCTACACCGACGATGTCGTCTGCTTTCCTCCTCCGCTCCACCCTCCCGAGAACATTCAAAGCTGCTTCTGGTCGATCAGCACTCCTCGCCGCTGTGCAGGGTCAGTCTTAGTCTTTAGTCTTTCCCGGTGGAAACAGAACGACCGGTCGCTGACCCTCTCTGTTCGATAGCGAGACACGCCTCGACCTCTACCACACCCTATGTTCCCGGCGGACGTAAGTGTTAATCCCTACTTTTACCTCTCAAAAACCTCTGCTGAACCAACCCGATCACTTCCTGTAGCCATCATCCAAGGAACGGTGAACGACCCGACCACGTTCCCAGAGTCCGATAGGTCGCACGGGTCCTACCACTGGGCCTTCGAGCGCCTCCTGTCCGCCGGCCTCGTCCCACTCACCGCTGCGGCGTTCGTCACGAGCGGGAGCAACTACCCGATCTTGGACGGCATTCTGGGCGTCAGTCTGATTATGCACAGTCACATCGGAGTGAGTCTCGCTTTCTCGTTATTCCGAGCATCGTCCTTCCCCATGATCCCCCATCCCCCCCTACTCTCCTTCGCTTGCCCCCGTCCGAAAACTAACCAGCTTCTGGCAGTTTGATTCCATCTTGGTAGACTACGTCCACAAGCGCAAGTTCCCCATCTTGGGCCCTGTCTCAACCTGGGGGCTCAGGACCGTCACTGTCGGCGTGCTCGTCGGCGTGTACTCGTTCAACACCAACGATATTGGTATGTTTCCTGCTTGCTGCATGCTGCATGCTCCATTCCTTCCTCTACTGGTTTCTGACGCTTTTTCTTCCACAGGTCTCACCGAACTCATCACTAAAGTATGGCACGCATAGGTCACGGCTATTTTGTGAATGTCTGCATTGTCGTTTGTAGAAGAGATTTGGATAATGCATCGCGCTGTTCTGGTGTTCTGATGTTCACCCCATGGAATTGGGCCTTTTGCACTTAGTCTTTGACACACAAGCCTGTTTCTTCGTCTCCAGCTTGCGCAGCGAGTAATTTAATCACTTTGCAAAGTCTCGCTAGGACCATTGCAAGTCATGATGCTGCGTTGCGAGCAGTGTCTTGACTGTCGTCCACATGCACTTCCCGAATCCCCGGTGGGATGCTGTCGCACGGCCTTCATGAACGTGTTCTGTATCCTTCTCCTCCACATCACCTGTCCCCGTCCGTCCCTCATTCATGACAGAAGAGGTTTCATCCCAATTGCAAGCATCTGTCCTACCTGATTTTGAATATGCTGTCAATGCCAAGTCATCATGAAAACTCTTCCATCAGGTATTGGCGATCTCAAAGTCCATGATATCATAGCCCCTATGGCGTAGTGGTAGCGCGTCGCACTTGTATCAGCATTGCTTGAGTACATGCGAAGGTCATTCGTTCAATCCGGGTTGGGGGCATTTCTTTTGCTTGAATTCCCATTGCTTTTGATTCGCTGTCAGAACGGAAGTATAATCAAGGTTTACGACCACCATTACCGTCAGCAATGACCCCATAGTACAACTCAAGTTCGTCTAATGTTTAGGCAGCTGATATAGGACCACAGATATCTGGCAATGTTATCTACATAGCCAACGTTTCCAGACCCCGGAGGCCTCGGACCATCCGCGTAGACCGGATGCCAGCCGCAGAGCTACCAATTCCAATGCTCTCGGGCGTGCCTCCGCGTAGATCGCCATGCGCGCGATAGGTGGGGAAATCAGCGTTACAGCGCGCGCCAAGGCTTGTTATGATATCTCTAAGCTGTTACATTAGACATCGACCGGCCGAATGTCGATGTCCTAACCCTTCCTCCCAACACCCACCATGCCACTATTCAGCTCTCGTTCCGGAAACGCGAGTACGGAATACATCTCCCTCGCACCGAGCGACGAAGATGTCGCAGACGCAGAGAAGCAATATACTCAGGGGGCCCGCTCCTCGACGCCGCGATTCCGAAGCCTGTATCTGGCTATCTTCGCTGTAGGCGCTCTCTGCGTGTTCAACTTTGCCCAGACGAACTTCTTCCCGCCCACTCCCTCTGGCCCATCAAGCCAGGCCTCCTCGACCTCGAAGAAGGCCCAAGTGGCTGTGTCCGCTGACCCGAAATACGCCTACACGGCGCCTGGGCGAATAGTGCGCGTCAGCGCGGGGAGCAAATCTGCGGTGTTTGGGGAGAGCAATTCGGTGCACATATCTGTAGAGGTGAGCTATGCTATTAAATCTCAGCTGGCAACTGCTCCCATTTAGAAACGGGGTGCGCATATTTACAGTTTTTCAGGACAACACCTTCATGGAATTCGCTGTCCCCCGCGGAAGCGCATCGACGTGCCAGCTCGCATTCATCCCCCCGCCCGCCATCGCATCCACGCGGCTCATCGGCGCGCTCAGCGAGATAGAAGCGTGGGACGTGTCTGCGCCGCCCTCGACGTACGACGACGTCAGCTGGCGGAACAGGCCTAAGGGCGAGAAGCTGCTCGCCACGCTTGACCTCAGCGGCAAGATCGAGGCGCTGAGCCAGGAGTTTGACTGCGGGGCCCAGGATTACCGGACGATTGAGTTCCGCTGTTTGAGGGTCGCGTGTGGGGTTGAGTACTATGCGGACGGGATGAGTGGTAAGTTTTCTCTTGCTCTCGTGCGACCCTCTTGTATTGATGATGTCTTTCACAGGCTTTGAACTGAGGCGACGGGTGTAGATGTGTATGGTATCGCCACTGTGCGGATAATATCGAATAGGGTTAGGATGTGGCTGCGGTCCGGGTGATAAATCCCATATGTAAATGATAATATGCATCGCACTTTTCGACTGGGAACTTGTGAAATGCTGCACAACAAGCAATGATTAATGATGCCCGACGCCCCCTTTAGTGCCTTAATTAGTGATATGATTTCAAGGATATAAGCCGCCGCTCCGATGATACTGGAACGATGAGCGCGGTAGATCAACAGCCAAGCCATGCAAATCAGCGCTCGTCACCCGCTGTGTACTGGCTCTACATATTAATTGCCTAACGAATGGAAGCGCTTGCAGCTAGTTCCTCTTCCCCACTATTAACCAATATCGTAGACCATGAAGTACCTCCCGCTGCCCCTCTACTTCCTTTGTCTCCTGCCTGCAGCGGTACATGCGGCGCAAGCTCACGCGGTTGCACCAGTGCGCGCTGGTTTTAACGTCCATTTCCCATTCGCAACACGGAAACCCAGTGCGGATAGTTTCTGCGGTACGTCCCTCTATCATAATGCGCGCGGATCACCAGAGTATTTTGTTGAAACGGAGTGCAGGCGAGGTGTACAAGAACCCCTCTGTGTTCGCGGCATTCGATCCCGGATTCGTGTCGTTTTCCGGGAATGCCGGAGACCTCGGTTCGCACCGTCCACCATAAACATTTCAATTCCGAGTGTTCTAATGAAGCCCAATTGCAGTGAGCGTAAGATGGACGACACAAACACGGGTCCCGCGCTCCCTCACAGATTTCCCGACCACGCTGGTCTCCGACGAGCCGATTGCGCCTAGTGGTCAATTGTGCTTCGACCTCAGCGTGCCGCAGCCGGTGCAGGAGCGGGATGTTGGGGTGCTGCTATTCCAATCACATGACTCTGTGACGCACGAGGATACTTTTATGGTGCGTGGTACTCTCTATTTCCAGATCCAAGATCCAATAGTATATATTCTGATATATTTGACAGTGTGTGGATGTGAGGCTCGTGGACGACGATGATATGCGGGGGGACTCGCACCCCGCGATGTGCGCGGCGCACAATGAGACATTGATCCCGATGCCGGACGAATACCTGTGATCTGGAAAGGGAGCGTAAATGGTATTTCTAGAGCAAACTGGATCAGTGCACCACTCGGGGTGAGATGAACGGATTGTAGCATGGCAGCACGGCAGCATGGCGCGCTGGGATATTGTGGTGCTTACAAATGAACGCGATAACGTGACCTGCCATAACTAGTTAATAATAACCGCGGGACTTCGTATTCCCTACTTTCTACTATTTAGAACTCCAAATCGACAATATTGTCTCGTTTAGCTTCTTGTCTGATTCTTAAAAGTGCGGCGAATAACCTTCTCAAGTTAACGTTATTATCCTTGAATTGTTTTTTTCCACATCGCCGTACATATGCCGGTGGCCACCTTCCTCACGCAGCGGAATCTGTCAATTTTTCTGGTTATGAAACTTGTCAAGCTATGTTGCTCGTCGCCGTCCTTATCGTTATAGGAGTAAACAACTCCGTGGCTGTCACCGCTGCTGTCCGCTGTCTGGTTTGATTTTGTGTCGTGTGACGCTACCATCGATGTGAATCCGCGTCAAAATACGGTGATTGATGAATAATATGAGTATAATGCGCATATCCACAGATTCCAGCTATTAGACGGACGAAAAACGTATTGTCGCTGACGACCACCGTACTGCTGTCATCCACACCACAATTTCAAAAGCGTTTGTCGCACCAATAAACTATACCCGAGGCCCCCCAGCATGATCCAACAGCAAAAGTCGACGAAATCGCTTCCAAAGCCGTGTCACTGTCCCCGTGTGCTGCTGTGATTGTTGTGATCCCGACTTTTCCGTCTCCGATACATCGCACCAGCAATTAACGGCATTCATCGATAGTCCACCTACTCATATTTCGTCCCCATTCTTCGACTCTTCCTATATGTCTTCTGGTCCCATCTCATTCCATACCAACCCGCCGAGAACCAGGGAGAACCCTAGTTCGTAACACGTCCCGGTTCTCACTCTAGGCGAACTCACACCCGAAATCTCAACTGCACAACCCTACAACCATCTTGATCAATACCGTGACCTTTATGCGCCTTGATATCGATGTTCCTGGGCCTCGAGCTCACAAGGTTCAAAAATCCAACTGAGATTTGACCATGCCACATGGAGCGACTAATTGTCTATGAACAACCCAATCAGTGGCTTCCAGGATATCTGTCTGCGGAGTGCTGCGGCAATGGAAGTTCAAGATGGCAGACAGAATCAAGCGCCCACTGAGTCTGACAGCAAGTGATTTCAATCACATGCCAACGGACTCTGTCGCGAACCTGCTTTCATCGGACGCGCCAATTGCACCCTGACCACCACCACCACCACCACCACCTCACCGCGTCTGACCGCATATTCATGGCATGGCACGAGACCTTTCTCAACCAGCGGAGCAGACTGAAACCCCTACCGGAGAAGGCTCTTTTCCTGAAGCGAGGTCCGCACTAGATTCCTGGGAAGTACATCTGGGTGGCGACGATCGAGGCTCGGAGACAACGCAGAAGTAAGCGATTTGCTTTCATGACACATGATCGCTGCAGTTAACCTATTTGCAACTCAGGCGGGCTCGGTGTGTACTCAGGTACATGATTTGCTCATTAGATTCTCATCAAGAGCTATAGCAGGGCATCTTCCCCGTCGCAGGCTAGCTCGTTGAATCTGAATACGGCTGAGCATGGGGGGGCTGCACTCGTACACCCTCTGTCCCAGTACCACGAGAGGAGTATGGAGAATGTGCGAAGCCCTAATTTTTGCGATGTAACTAGGTTCTGATTGACAGTTCTGGTAGGTCATGGTCTGCCTGTTCGTAACATGCGCCTTCGTCGCGCTGTTCTCGTACCTCCGTCTCAATATCGGCTGGACGGTCGGGGTCATTGGAATTTCGACCTTTTCAATCAGGTATATCTTAAACATTCCCCGAAAGTGTATGAATCTCAATGCAGCCTTGGTTTAGACGTCGAAACGATGGCCTCAAAGATGATTTTCTGTCCCAGTAAGTCGAATCGTTATCCCCCCAGTATACAACGGGAGTTAACTGCTCTGAAGCATGAGCCGAAAGAGACTCGAAGTCCTGGTAAGCACCACTCCCCCTGCATCACCGTATTTCCCGCTAACCCATGTGCTTTATGCCCTGTCTTCAATCTTCAGCAATACCCTGAAAGCGCCGGCGAATCCGCAGAATGGGTAAACTCCCTCCTCAAACGCATATGGCCTATCCTCAATCCGGAACTGTTCTCCTCCCTCGTCGACCTCCTCGAGGATACGATGAAGAAGCAGTCGCCAGGCATTATAAAGACAGTAAGGATCGAGGACCATGTGTTGGGGAGCAATCCGATGCGCATCCACTCCGTACACGTACTGCCTGATGATGTCGAGATTGGGGGCGCGGGCCTGGCGGAGGAGGGGGATTTTATTGTGAGTCGGCCTCTCCATTCTCATCCCCCCAATAATCTGATCTAACAATCCATTACTTAATCATAGTCCCTCGAAATAGAATTCTCTTACCGCCGGCTCCCCCCCTCCTCCAAATCCACCAAATCTAACACTTCTGCCTCTAACGCACAAGCGCAAGCGCACTTCATTGCCTACTTCGGCATGGGTCCCACCTTCCCCAAATTCGCGTCATTTGAGATTCCTGTAATTG